CCCCAAAGGACTCCGCGATGGCCCAAAAGGCATCCAAAACCACCCCAAGACGGCCTAAGAGGGCCTCCCGTAGGACCCAAGACCATCTTAGAAGGACCTTCGACGGTCCAAGACGGCGCCACGACGGCCCCAAGACATCTACCATACGGCCAAAAGGACCCCAAGACACCGGAAGAGAGAACACAGCCAGCGTGAGAGGGCCCGCAGACGGCCCAAGAGGGCCCCCAGGGACCCCCACGGAGGCCAAGACAGCCCCAAGACAGCCCAAACGAGTTCCACCATCATCACCACCACCATCACCATTACCATCACCATGATGATGATCATCATCATCATCATCATCAGCAGCAGCAGCATCATCAGCATCAGCATCAGCATCAGCAGCACCAGCTTCAGCATCAGTATCATCGTCATGAATCATCATCATCATCACCACCATCATCATCATCATCATCATCACCATCATCATCATACTCATTATCATCATCATCCTCACCATCGTCCTGGTATCATCATCATCATCATTCCAATCAGCATCATCATCAACATCATCATCATCATCACCATCATAAATCATCAAAAACACCATCGGTATCGGGAGTATCATCATCATCACCACCACCATCATCATCATCATTCCCATCAGTATCAACATCATCACCATCGTCAATCGTTATCAACATTATCATCATCGTGAGCATCATAATCATCATCTTCATCATCGTGAGCATCATCATCATACTCACAATCATAATCAACGTCATCACCGTCATCATCAGCACCAGCATCATCAGCATCAATATCGTAATCATCGTGCTAATCATCGCCATCATCATCGTCACCATCGTCACCATCCGCAACAGCATCATCAGCATCACCACCAAGAAGGCCGAAGACGAAATCATTGATTTCCATGTGGTTCTTGGATGTTGTGTGCATGCTCGCCTTTACGGGCTGCCGTCAGCTCAAGAGGGCCCAAAAGGACTCCGCGATGGCCCAAGAGGCATCCAACACCACCCCAAGACGGCCTAAGAGGGCCTCCCGTAGGACCCAAGACCATCTTAGAAGGACCTTCGACGGTCCAAGACGGCACCACGACGGCCCCAAGACATCTACCATACGGCCAAAGGACCCCAAGACACCGGAAGAGAGAACAAAGCCGGCGTGAGAGGGCCCGCGGACGGACCAAGAGGGCCCCCAATGACCCCCACGGAGGCCAAGACAGCCCCAAGACAGCCCAAGCGAGTTCCACCATCATCACCACCACCATCACCATCACCATCACCATCGCCATCATCTTCATTATCATCATCATCAGCATCAGCAGCAGCAGCATCAGCATCAGCATCAGCATCATCAGCACCATCAGCATCAGTATCATCATCATAGTCAGAATCAGCAGCATCCTCATCATCATCCTCATCATCACCACCATCATCATCATCACCACCACAACCATCATCATCATCATCATCATCATCATCATCATCATCATCATGATCATCATTCCCATCGTCATCAACATCATCAGTCATCATCAACACCATCGGCATCGTGAGCATCATCATCATCATCACCACCATCATCATCATCATCATCATTCCCATCAGCATCAACATCATCATCAATCATCATCACCATCGTCAATCATTATCAACACCATCATCGCGAACATCATCATCATCTTCATCATCGTGAACATCATCTTCATACTCAACATCATAATCAACGTCATCGCCGTCATCATCAGCATCAGCATCATCATCAGCATCAACATCGTACACCATCGTCACCATCCGCAACAGCATCATCAGCATCACCAACATCAGCGTCATCAGCAACGACCTGAGCATCATCATTATCATCCACAACACCAGCAGCAGCACCACCACCAACATCATCATCATCATCATCATCATCAACATCATCATCGTCACCAGCCCCATCATCACGGCTCTCCCAAGACTGAAAAGGTGTCACACGTGACAGCCTTTCGTGCCCCTTCGAACAGTCGCCACCCAAAATGCTTGGCTGGCACGGTGGTGGGACTTGCCGCAGGCAGTTGGATGTAGACATACAGTGGAGGCCAGTCCACAGGAAACCTTCCACAAGGAACCCGACCCTGAGGCCACAGGACGTCCATTGATTTTTGGTGTGGGAACGGCACGCTTTCCATAGCAAAACCGTCGAAGCCCAAGAATCCCAAGGCACCATGGAGGCAAGCAGGGTGTTTCTTGGCATGGGCCTCCACCGTACATGCAAGTATGCATGTATACCTCAAACGAAACCGACGTAAACTAGAACCACACGCATCCTTAGGTTCTAGCACGCCCAAGCCCTCGACAACAACATTACTGCACATGCGCATGAATAACAAAGCATGGGTTGCACATAATTTGACACGACAAAGAGAGCGACACTCTCAGAGGGCCAGGGAGGGAAGCCTCACCACAGGCCCCTCCTTGCCAACTCCCCCTGCTCATCATCTCCCCCCTCGCTCGTCACACAAATCGTCCACGGAAACGGCGTCGGCGCACAACAATTTGTGACACCGCGTCGATCGTTTAACCGTGAATCGATCGCAGCCCCGATTGTTCAAATTTGAATTCCGTCGGGTCCTGTGGCGTTACCGTGCCACTAGGTGCTTCCGCGTCGTTCTAGCATGCGGGATTCAACCTGGAACACCTTCGCCGGCGTCGCCGGCGTCGCCATCACTGTATGGCATATAGACCTATTACCGTACGTTCCTGAGGGAAACGGGTCCTGGACCCTGGGGCCTTCCCCCGGACGAGATCTTCAGCCTGGGTCGTTTTCTGACAGTCCCGGCGCGCCCGTGGAGGGCCCCCAAAGCCCGAAAACGGGGACAGCAAAACCCTCAGTGACGGGCCTGTTTTCCACCGCCACCACCACAAGTGGGAGGGGGAGGGGGTCCGCCTCCTCCTCCGCCTCCTCCTCCTCCTCGTCCTCTTCGTCCTCCTCCTCCCCCTCCTCAACTCCACCTCCTTCCCCACACCAACTTGTGGTGGTTGTGGTGGTGGTGGAAGCCCGCCCCATCATTCGGGACCCGCCCCCCCCCCCCCCGGCGCACATCTGCGCGGCCCGCCCCCTCGGAGTGTCCAGCACGCTGCGCCCCCGCAGCTCCAGCCCCCCCGCCGCGAGCCACTCGGCCAGCAGCACGCCGCCGGGCCACACCCGCGCACCGGTGCCCCCGCCGCGGGTGCCGCAGTAGGTGACCGGCACCTCGCCGGGGGCGGATGGCAGGGAGGCCGCTCCTCGGCCTAGCACAGTCCGGAAATGCGGCGGACATGTCGGCGGCAGTCTCGGCGGCGAGGTTGGCGGCAAGTTCGGCGGCCATTCCGGCGGCCCTTTCGACGGCTCTTCCGGCGGCCCTTTCGGCGGCAATGTCGGCGGCCCTTGCGACGGCTCCTTCGGCGGCGCTATCGGCGGCGCTGCTGTTGCCAACGGTCGACAATGGCTGCCCGGAGCTCTCGGCAGTCAGCGGCCCTAGCGGGCCCTGAGAGGGCCCTCGGAGGGCCTCGCCAGAAAGCGTCTGCAAAGTAGCTCAAGCCACGCGTGCTTGGTACGCGATAGCATGCGCAACGTGCAAAGTGACTGCCTCCTGTTCTGCGAAGTTCAGCACGCTCTAAGATGTGCTTGGAAACCACCGCGCGGCAGGGCGTGCCTGCACACCGAAAACATAAAAAAACGCAAATTCGTTTGGAATGGATTTCGGCGCGCGCCCCTGATCGTCTCCACAGAAAGAACCACTACGAAGAATACGGTGAGAAGTACGTGAGAAGCAACGCAAAGCGCGCTCTGGCGCACGCTGACACTCCCCAATCCGCACTCTGCACTCGTGAATCGTCCCCATTCCCTTGGCCCACCCGTGCACCCCGCCCCAGCCCTCATCGCAACCTCTTGGTGCAGGCGACAGGGCACGCGTGCCACGTGAGGGTCAACGATAGAGGGGAACTGGCCAAGAGGGGGAACATCGAACCCGAAGCGGCGATGCATCGCCGATAGATCGGCGCTAGGCCCCCGATAGCGACGCCCCACGTTCGGGCGGGGTGGGGCTATCGGGCCCCTATCGGCGATGAATGGGTGGGTGGGGGTCGATGCATCCAACCTTCAGCCGATCCCCCCTGCAGTGAGGGGCAGCCGCAAGAACCCCTCGGCAAGAAACCCAGCCCGTGAATTGCGAGAAATGTCTTGCCAATGCCTGGGCATCCAAGTGATCCGTTCGGAGATAGGGCGGGCACCCTCGGCACAGCAAGCTCTTTGCGGTCGGGAGAAGTCAGCGCGCTTCGCTGGACACGAAGAAACCCAGGGGCACCGTGACGAAAAGCATATGGCTTCTTTGCGCGCGTCCCCACTGCAGCGCTGCCCCTGACCGCACTTCGAACGGGTCCTGAGGGAACGAGTCCTGGACCCTGAGGCCTTCCGCCAAGATGAACGTTTGTGTTTCATCCTGACCCGTTATCTGGCAGTCCTGGCGCCCGGGGAGGGTCCCCAGAGCCCGAAGACGGCACCCTCCGGACCTCTTTCCCTCAGGACCCGCTTCGCGGATGGACGCAACAGGTGCCCATGCCGCTGCCCCCCTGACCTCCCCCGGCGTGTGCGCTCTGACCAGCACCTCGGCGGGGATTTCGAACTTCTGGCGGCCCTCGGCATCGTCCAGCCTGCTGGACGGGGTCGAGGGCTTCCTTTGAAGCTGTGCCATCCATCCTCCCCCCTCCTCCTCTGGGCTTCCCCCCCTGGCGACGTGCCAAGCCCGTGACGACCGATCCCGGGGCCCGCCCGATCGGCCCCGCAGGTGGTCCAGCCGAGTGGCGCGGCGGGGCGGCGCGCGTCCTCGAGGTCCGAGCCGCTGCCCCGGGCGAAGGTGTGCGCGAGGACCACCTCCACGGCCCTCGCCTGGCGGGGGCAGGGGCGGCAGGGAGCTCCCGGGCTGGCTCAAGCAGGGCTCTGGCGTCCAGCACGCCGAGCAGGCCTCGAGATCGCACCAGGCGGCATCCATGATCACCAAAAGGCGGCCCACGAAGGCCAAAAGGCGCTCCGAGATGGCTCCACGGCCCTCGCCTGGCAGGGGAAGGGCGGCAGGGGTCACTGTAAGACCCCAGGCCTCCAACGCATTGACAACAACAATGCAGAGTTGTTCTCGTCGTTCTCGGCCTGTGTGTGTTTGTGTGCGAGTGTGCGTGCGCGCGTTCGAGTGTGTGTGTGTTGTTATGTAATGTGTTGTGTTGTGTTGTGTTGCGTTGTGTTGTGCTGTTGTTGGTGTGTTGTGTTATGGTGTGCTGTGTTGTGGTGTGTTGTGGTGTAGTGTGTTGTGTTGTGTCGTGTTGTGTTGTGCTCTGCTGTGCTGTGCTGTGCTGTGCTGTGGTTTGGTGTGTTGTGCTATGGTGTGTTGTGTTGTGTTGTGTTGTGCTGTGGTGTGGTGTGGTGTGTCTGCGTGTATGTGTGCGTGTGTGCGTGTGTGCGTGTGCGTGTGTGCGTGCGTGCGTGCGTGCATGCGCTTGCGTGTGCGTCCGCGTGTGCGCCTGGGTGCGGGTGGGGCAGGGGGGGGGTGCGGGTGGGCGGGTGGGTGGGCAGGCGGGCAGGAGTGTGGGCGGGTGGGTTGGCGTGTTGGCGGTAAGCCAGAGTGCGCCCAGTGGGGCCTCACGTGTGGCCTCAAGCTGACAAGAAGGCCGATAATTACTTCATCGGGTTACTGCCATTACCACTGTGCCCCCCCCGCCAGGGGATCCCCAATGGGAACCCTCCATGGGACCCCAATCCTCGGAATCCCCGTGGGGCCCCCCCATAGCACACTCCTTTACACAATTCCCCCCGTAACGTAAGCGAAAAACAGGCGCTACCTCTACACCTACTACTAGCTACCCAATAATTACTGAGTGCTCCTCGGTTGGGGGGAGGAGCTCCTGCAACTGAACGCCAAGAATACGAACATCCGATCCTCGAGAGACGTCAGCGCGCCGCCTGGCACATGCAGAACTTTGAGTGGACAGCCGGCCGCTGCTTTCACGCGCTTTCTCCAGACGAAGCCTATGCATATTTAGGGAAAACCCTCGGTCTGTCAAAAAACAGGGCAGCCGTTGCCGTCAAGAATCGGATACCAGCCGCGTGGCACCAATTTCAGAAGAAACGCCAGAAACTCATGCGACAGCATTCGGCGCCAGTCACCGCGTGGACCTGTTCAACTCTGAAGTCCCGAAGGCCCTACTGTGCGGGATGGCCAGCTTGGCGCTCATGCAGCGGAACCACGCCATGCTCCGGGGAGCGCGGACACAAATGCTCCAAAATATTGCAAGCTGGAGGCGAGTGGAAGGGGAGACCTGGCAGAATGGATACGATATGCAAGATGCAGGCGCGCGTGTCCAACCTGCTGTCTGCGGCAGCCTGCTCTGAAGTGGCGGCTTGCTCGCCGGCCCTTAAACGCACAGATCGACGAGTGGGCGCCCCTCCTGCGGAAGCTGTCGTCGGCCCACAAACAACCATCAGGCAGACCACAGCTGCAATGGAGTGATGACCTCGACAAATTCTGCGAACACATTGGCACACATTCTTTGGAACATGCACTGCAGACACCAAGCATGGAGAAACAACACATCGAATTGTGCATGAAGAATTTGCTATGCCCCTTCCCCTCCCTGTCCCTCCCAGCCTCCCCGTCGTGCATTTCTTCTCATTCCGAATATATTCCCCATATCCTCAGATGGGGTTCCCCACAGATGCGGGTCAGAGTGAGGGGGTGGGCGCGAGGTGGGTCGCGGGTGGGTCGCGGGGGGGCCGCGGGCAAAACGCGTGCAAGTCGCGGGTGGGTCGCGGGTCGGTCCCGGGTGGGTCGCGAGTGGGTCGAGGACGGGTCGCGGGTGGGTCGCGGGTGGGTCGCGGGCGGGTCGCGTGTGGGTCGCGGGCCAGGTCGCGAGAGCAACGCCGACATCAACGCAACGCAACGCGACGCAGCAACGATCCGCAGCGCCGAACCCCACCTCGACCAGGCACCCCTCGCTCTGACGAAGATTCCACGCTCGCCTGGCTGGAGGACGGGCTCCCCGCCTATGCCCTGCAAAGGGGCCGAGCAGCGGATGCACCTGCTCGCGTGGCTCTCGCTCGCTCGAAGGAGCGCGTGGGGGGTCGACGCATGGCCCCTCCGGGCCTGTCCCCCCTCTGGCCATCGCTCGGACGTCCACTCCCCGTGTTTTTGCTCGGTTTCGTGCGTGTTTTTTTTTTCGCCAGATGATCAGGGATGCTCCTCGGTGGTCCTCGCCGAGAGAAAAATGCACACGTCCGAGCGATGCCAAGCCCTCTGCCGCTGCCCCTGGCCCGCGCGGGCGGGCCTCCGCCACGGGGCGGTCGTCTCGGGTGGCGCGCCGCACGGACGCCCCGGGGAAGCCGCGCGCGAAGGCGGCCTGCGCGGGCGCGGGAGAGGGCGCCCGCACGGGCGGCGCCGCCATCTCGCCTGCCGCGTCCTCGCCCTCGGCCCCCCCCCAGGGGGAGCATCGATCCGGGATCGGCCGCGCCTCGCCGACAGATTGGACTTAGGCCCCCGATTGCGAACCGTCCTGGGCGGGGTGGGTTATCAAACCTCGATCGGCGATCCGCAGGCGATTCGGGGTCGCTGTCCTCAGTCTGGTTTGTCCCTTGGCCATGGTTCCCCCTCCTCTGCTATCCTTGGTTATCATATAACCGCATGCCCCGGATGCTAAAGCATCCCCCCCTCAAGTCCTGAGTGTTGATCGTCCCTGGCCAAGACATTTTTTTGTCGGCGGCGGGGAGCGGCGGGGCCGAACTTCATTATCATCGGCAGGCGAAACGCGCAGGTTGGAAGACTCGCCGAGGTCGCGAGGTGAGGATGTCTCAGGCGAAGCGCACATTTATCATGTGTGCGAAGATGTCCCAGGCGAAACAAAGCCCCAAACGGTCCAAAGGCCCCAAAAGGCCGGGAAGAAATGTATTATCCTCACTGGACCCCGAATTGTATTATCTCCACCCTGTGAACCTCAGGGGAATAAAGGTTATTGAGTATGCGTCCCCACATCTTCTTCACAGGCAGGTGCTCACAAGTATGGACCATGGTCAAGCGAACAAGAACGTTACTAGGGGGTCCCAACTCATGGGCTCCTTCTTTGCATAATCCTACTGGCGGCAGGGTTCTTTTTTAAGTCATGCGCCATCGCTACTTCGCTCTTTTAATTGAATGTGCGGTTGAATAGACGTACGCGCACTAGAATGATGGCCGTGCGCTTCTAGCAGTCCTCGCACAAAATATTCAAACAAAAACGTGCAGAAACGGGCGCGCTGAGCAACCAGGCCTTCGCTTGCCAGCCTTCAGTGCACCTCGTCGGGGCGCCGCAAGCCCCAACTAATGTTACGGTGCGCCCCATCCGACTAGCACTTTCTACTGATCCGCAGTTCCCCCACTAACCAGAATTACATTCGCCAGGCAGGCGGGGTAAGCGTCGCTGTTCGTTCAACCAGCGTCCAGCGTGGTCCTTCCCCGCAGCCTACCTTCGACATCGTTCACCTGGACTTCCTGCCAGCCGCCACTTTGGTTCCAATCGTACAACGGATCGCTATCTGCAGTCCACGCCCCGGTTGTGGCACGGCCACCATCGCCAAGGTCTTCTTTTGGGCGATCACCGGACCAACGACTAGAGCTCCCCGTTGTTCGACCAAGATGACGATAATTGCCCGGGTGTCGAAAAAACACTCGTTTCCTCTTCCGTTCCGTTTTCCGCCGTGCTCGTCGACTACGAATTATCTCTTCCGTTTCTACCAGCTCCCCTCGTGCTCGCGCGAACTATGCCTCTTGGAACTATCGCCCTTAATCCCTATAGGTCTGCCAGACCCCAACCGTAAAAAAATATGGTCGACGCCCTTACTGACGGACTGGAATCCCACCAGTAGTGGGAGATAGCAATTCTCCGTGGCACCCGACGCGTAACGACGATGACGACGACGACGACGACGACGACGACTACGACGAAGACTGCGACTACGAACGCTAGCACTGGTTCCTATTGCAATGCTCTCAAAAATATGCTCTCAAATCGCGTGTAGGGTAGCCCACAACAATGGCTTATCCTTGGGAGCAGAAAGCCACCATCATAACCCAGCCCGCCCAACAATGGAGGGACAATCAACTCCGCCGCGGCGACGACGACGACGACGACAACGACGACGACGACGACGACAACGAGGAACAGCAGGAAAAGGACGAGAAGGAGGAGCGGGAGTGAGGGAGGAGGAGGAGGACGACGACGATGACGATGACGAGGAGGAGGAGGAGGAGGAGGAGGAGGAGGAGGAGGAGGAGGAGGAGGAGGAGGAGGAGGATAAGGAGGAGGACGAGGAAGAGCAGGAGGAGGGGGAGGAGGGGGAGTCTGTTCCCCGCCAAAAGCCCCCCCCGTCGGCCCCCCTTGCCGTCGTCTTCCCAAGGCGAGCGCCCGCCGTCGCGGGAGCGCCCGCGGCAGAGCCACGGGCCACGGGGCCAGAGGGCTCAGCAGACAGCATGCCCGGCATCTTCCCCGGGCGTCGGCTCTCGCCGTGGAGGCGGCGGAGCCGCCCGCCACATCTCGGCGGCGAGCGAGGGGGGGAGTGGAAAGGAGGAGCCCTTCTCAGAGGGCGGCGGGGCTTCTCAGAAGCCCTCGCGCCTTCTGAGAAGTTGTTGGCGTCTTCGGGGGAGGCTGATGAAACTTCTCAGAAGGTCGGGGGGCTTCCGCCTTCTGAGAAGGCCCGCCCCTGGTCACTCCCCCTCGCTGGCCGTCGAACATGGGGGTTCTCATGGTGGTGTGGTCCTCCGCCCTCCTCTCGCTTGAGACGTTTCCTGTCCCAAGCTCGGGGGGGCATCGTGGACGTCCTCGCTGGAGGTGGCCCGATGTGGTCTGCCCACATGACGGCGTCGCTTCTCACCCGCCGAGAAAATGCGGACGTCAAAAGGGACTGCCGCTTCTGCCATCGCCAAGGTTTGCTCCATCACAAGAATGTGTTGTCGCATTCGTTGTCGGTATGCCTCCACCTTGTCTGCTCGAGATTGCAATTCGTGAATACATGTGTCGTGCACCTCGAGGTGGGACGCGTTCTGCTTGCTGGCCGCCAGGAACTCGTGCACCTGTGCGTTGAAGAGCTGTTGCTGCTAAGCAATGGGAATTTGCCGTTGCCGTGAGTTGCGCCGTCGCCGTTGCGATTTGCTCCTTCCCCAATGCCGCCAGCCTCTGTTCCAACTGAGCCAGTTCGCCAAGCAGAGGAGGAGCATCATGATCTCGTGGGGCAGGTAAGCCACAAATCGGCGTGCCAGAGGCTGGAAGCTCACCTTCAGGGAACGTAGGAAACATCTCCAAATCTTTTGCAACTTGGCGCCTGGCACGTGGTGAGAGAAGAATGTGTTCAGGTCCGCGAGGCCGAACAGGTCCGCCGCTAGCACCTGCATGCTGTTGTTGGCCAGCCGCTGCAGCTCTCCAAGGGCCTCGTTCTGCCACAACGTCTGGACATGGAGCTGAAGGTCCTGATGATCGCGGCGGTGCTCGGTCTGAATCACGATGTCCTTCAGGTCCACGATCGCGCTCTCTGTCGTCGTCCCGTCTCTCACTGTCCCGACGGTCGCGGTGTCGCCGATGTCGGTGTGCACGTGTGGACCCACTGCGGTCACCTCCGGTCCTGCTCTTGGAGCGTCCTGCCGTCTACGATTACAGGGATGAGGATTAGGTCTTCGAGCACCGTCGGAGGATTGTGAACTGCAGCTGGAAGCAGGCATCGCGTCTGCGTGAAGGAGTTGCTGTTGTGTCTGTTGCCAGTGATTCGGTCCGAGCCGAAACCAGCGCGTCGTGTCCGAGGTGGGGCCCCAAGATGGACGTACAGCTGCGGTGCCAACGCTTGGACCGTCACCTGCCTGAGTGCGATCAGAATGATCAGGATATGGATGCCAGCAGCGGTGTGCGCCAGGCTGGTCTTTGAATATGGAGTGCCCGCGACTGTGCAGGACTTAAGTATGGAAAGAGTCGGGCTGGCGCGTGCCCCTGAAGTGGCGCCAACAACTTGAAGACTGTCCTCGGCCCAGAGGTCTCCATGCGGCCGCAGCGCGACATGTTGACTTGAGACAAAATGGCTACGGCGGAGGATGAGGAGGAGGAGGAGGAGGAGGAGGAAGAGGAGGATGAGGCAGAGGAGGAGGAGGACGAGAAGGAGGAGGAGGAGGAGAAGCAGGAGGAGGAGGAGGAGGAGGAGGAGGAGGCCTCCCCCCGTCTGGGAGTGAGACCTTCCCCCCAGGCGGGAGGGAGACGGGCCCCCCCCCTGCCCCCGAGGGCCAACCGCCGCGCGCCGAGGCCGAGGGGCGCGGGGCGGCCCCGCGCGCCTCCGCGGCGGGCGCCTCGTTCTCCAGGCTCAGCTCCAGGAGCCGCCCGTCGCCCGCTGCGCCTCTTCGGCGGCGGGGGGGGCCCGCGGGGGGGGGGGGGGAAGGGGGAGGCCGCCTCTTTGAGCCATCTTGGAGGGCTCCCCCTCCTCCACCACCTCCTCCTCCTCCTCCTCCTCCTCCTCCTCCTCCTCCTCCTCCTCCTCCTCCTCCTCCTCCTCCTCCTCCTCCTCCTCCTCCCCCTCCTCCTCCTCTCGTGGCCATCTTGGAGGGCCTCTCTGGGCCGCGGCCGCGCCGTGCGACAGTGCCCGCGCCGCGACCACGGGATGTGGTGTGGACGTCTGCTGGTGGCGTACGATGCTGGCGGATGGCGGGTGCTCTTCGGGCCTGATGCCGCTGTCCGTCCTGCATGTACCGATTCCATGTCTGCTGTGGATGCCTGCCTTCTGTGCTGGGCCGGGTAACCGCCGCATTCCCAACCCAACCCAACCCTCCAAACCCGCGCGCGAGGTGCACCGGAAGGGGAAACCTGGAGCACCCGGAACGCAGCAGCCTCTTCAACGGCTGCGGAAAGTCACCGCGCAGCGCGCTGAGCGAAGATACCCAGGATACCCTGACGAAACGAAGATGTGTTCTGGATTGATAGGCCTGTTTTCCACCACCACCACCACCATGAGTTGAAGGGGGGTGGCCTCCTCCTCCTCCTCCTCCTCCTCCTCGTCCTCCTCCTTCTTCCCCCCTCCAACCTATGGTGGTGGTGGTGGTGGTGGTGGTGCAAAACAAGCCCATCATTGATGTGCGCCCCTACGATGACCGCGGCGTGCAGAGGAGGAGGAGGAGGAGGAGGAGGAGGAGGAGGAGGAGGAGGAGGAGGAGGAGGAGGAGGAGGAGGAGGAGGAGGAGGAGGAGGAGCTGGCGAGGTGGGACCCTTGGGGGGACGCTCGGGGATGCTGCGGGCCCCGCGACCGCACGGTGTGCGGTCGGGCGGCCGCGCAGCGGGGGCCTCGCGAGGACACGCGGGGGGTGGCCTTCCGGTAGCCCGGCCGCCGCGGCATCCTTTCCGACCTACGGTAGGTTCGCGTCGTGTCGACCGGCGGCGACCCCGCCAGCGGCGTTCAAGGTTGAACGCCGCCGGCGACCCAGAATCGGTCGATGTTGAACGATTGGACGTTGCGGAAACGGCCGATCGTTCAAGGTTGAACGATCCAGCGCGGTGTCAGGAACCAACGCCAGGGTCGACACGGCACGGACCTGCAGTACCAGACCACCCCCAACCCAACCCGAAGACCCGGATTTCGGGTTGGGGGGGGGGGGGGTTAAGGGTTTCATCTGTGTTTAGTCAATGTTCCCCGACCCCCCCCCTGGAAATGGAGGGCAAATTGAGGCCTTCGGGTTGGTTTGGGGTGGTTTGGTGGGTGGTGGTGACATCCTGCCGGGCTCGCGGGCGGCATTGTCCTCAAGATCTTACAGCGCCAACCTCTCGGGTCGGGAGCAATCCCAACCTGTCGGGTGGGACAAAACGGGTGAGCCTTGCGTTCGAAACTCATTCTGACTGTCCGGGGCCTCTCTCTCTCTCTCTCTCTCTATTTATGCCCATTCGAGCCGCTGTGAAGGCATCTTGTGATCCCATGGGGCCGTCCGGGAATCATCTCGGAGAGTCCTGGGCCGTCTTGGACCGTCTTGGCGGCCCGTCCTCCTGACCCATCTTGGAAGCCGATAGAAGGCGGCAGAGTCCACGAACAGCCCACTCAGGGCTCCCTGATCGGGGACTGTCATGACCCAAGGCATTGTCGCGCCTGAGAACTTGGGCAGAACCATTCTCCATTCTTCGTTCTCCAGGTGGAATGTCCAATGTCCTGGCTAGCAAGATCCAGGTGCAGAGGGGCCCCGCCCCACATCGGGCTCCCAAGCCCCGGATCCCATGTGGCTCGAGCTGGCCGTGCGGGGAGGGACATTTAATGAAAGTGGACCAGCCCTGTGCTGGGGGGACGCAATCGCCATGTGTCACTCAACATCTAGTATCTATACGTGTACATGTACATCTATGATTATGTATACATAGCCACCCCGCAACATCTATACACAGATCGGCATACATATACATATGAACATACATGTAGCCATATTAATCCGGGAACGTCTGCAACGCCCACAGCGCGACTTGTCGAGTCTGAGCGCGCTTCCCGTCCACGTGCACATTGTCGCGCAATCCCGAGCCATTTCCCTCCGCAGGACCCCCTCAACAGTTATCTGCTACCGGACCTTGTGCAGGTTGGGGCGTGTTAGAATGCTCCTCTGCTGTCTGCGAACATGTCTTTGGCGTATTTGTATAGCCGACCCCATCCCATGCCCGCGCGCGCGGTTGAACAATCGCCCCAACATATCTGGAGCGGACTTGGGACTAACAAAAACCAAAAACAAAATACAAGACATCGCAGAACAAGCAACTGCAGCTTGGAAGCGCCTTGGCGCGGGGAAAAAGTCATGGCCCTGGCCATGCCCCACCCCCCTAGTCATCACCCCCCTCTTAGCCGCTCCCGACCACGAGAGAACGAGGCGAAAGAGTCCGTCGCCGCTGGGGCGCCCGCGGGGCCTCCTTCTGCCGACGGCCCCGGCGGCAGAACCTCGCAGCGCACCAGGCTGCACGCGTGGCCGTCGAACCACGCCAGCAGCTCCGCGTCTGTGAGACCGCAGGGCCCCTCCCCCGGGCCATTGGGAGACTGATGCGGGCAAAATTCAGATCCTGATCCACTGCGTCTTAGACTTTCTGGGAAGGGGCGCTCAAAGGTCGAGGCGCAGTGGGTGAGATGGATAAAAATCTAGCCTCTGGGGGCCAGATTCTTACCCATAGCCACTGCGCCTCGGCTGTCTTCGCGAGGGAGCCCGGAACTCCAAGATGCAGTGGACATGGGTACGCATCCTGCCCGCAACTGAGCCCGGAAGCCAGCTGCTCCTTGAGAGGTGGGCGCCCCCGACGTTCGCGCTGCCTCGCTGAGCCGAGACGCGATCATTCTCGCGCTCCGCCCTCACTGAAGGGGCCCTGGGACACACAAATTCGCCGGCCCAACGGGCCAGAGGCGTGCTAAGATCTCCGGTAACTGCTCTACAATGTTTCTACTTCGCGCGCGCGGGGCGGCCCCTGGGGGTCCCCAGACGAAAAGTACCCCGACCAGGTCCCGGCCGGGTCCCCCCGAGCGCTCCACAAGCGCACCAACAGGGCTCCGAAAACGTCCCCGAGGACCCAAACAAAACCAAGAGGCCCGCAAGAGGTCCCCAAGATGGTACACGAGGCGTCCGAGATGCCACAAGATCGCTCCAAGACGCCCAAGATGGCCCCCAGACGCTCCAAGAGGTCTCCAAGCGTACTCCCAAGAGGGCCCCAAGAGGCAAAATTCATTGCTTTTCCTTAGGTTTTGGACATATTTTGGCTTTTCCACCTTTTCCGCTTCCCGAAGCCCCAAGACAGCCCAAGACGACTCCAAGATCGCCCCAAGAGGGCTTAAGAGGCCCCCAAGAGAGCCCCAAGACGGCCCAAGAGGGCTCCAAGACGGCCCAAGAGGTCTCCAAGACGGCCCAAGAGGGCCCCAAGAACGCCCCAAGAGGGGGAACACGAAACAACATTTCCAGCCCTCGGCCCCAAGAAGCCCCCAGGAGGTCCCAAGAGGCCCCTAAGAGGCCCCAAGAGACCCCCCAGAGGCTCTCAGGAAGCTCCCAAGAAGCCCCCCAACCGGCCCCAGGAGGCCCCCCAAATACCCCCCGGGCACGCAGGCAAGCGCCAGTGATGCTGCAATATGGGCCGGCGGAATGAGCGAAGCGATTGAATAAATACACACAAATAAAATAAACCCCCATATTTTCGTATATTTTCTGGATTTTTGTCTTCCCGCCCAATTCCCATATTTTCCCATATTTTCTGGAAATCGACGATTAATTGTGTCTGTGTGTTTTTTTCCCTCCTGACTCACCCCCTGGGGAGGGGCAGCCGTCTGGCGACATGGGGGGGGAGGGGCTCGGGCCTCTCAAGTCGATTGGCGACTGGGTCTTCGGCCCGACGGGTGGCGGCGGCGCCACTCGATTCTCCGGGTATCTTGGACATCTAGGGCATCTTGGGCATCTTGGGTATCTCGGGCATCTTGGGCACACTGAGAATATTGGGCATCTTGGGTATCTTGGGTCACTTGGGTATCTTGGGAATCTTGGGTCTTGGCTATCTTGGCTATCTTGGCTATCTTGGCTATCTTGGGTATATTAAGAATATTGGGTATCTTGGGTACATTGGATATCTCGAGTATCTTGGGTATATTGGGTATCTTGGGTATCTTGGGTATATTAGGTATCTTGGGTATTTTGGGTATCTTGGGTATCTTCGGGCGAAAGAAGCCCGTTGACGCTCAGATGCGCATGCACATTTGGCAACATCAGGGCTCAGGGCGCTTAGCATCCGAGGCCACGCCCACCGTGAGCAGAGGGTTCGGGAGCCCACCCATTTGCACTGTGTATATTTTCTGGATTTTTGTCTTCCCGCCCAATTCCCATATTTTCCCATATTTTCTGGAAATCGACGATTAATTGTGTCTGTGTGTTTTTTTCCCTCCTGACTCACCCCCTGGGGAGGGGCAGCCGTCTGGCGACATGGGGGGGGAGGGGCTCGGGCCTCTCAAGTCGATTGGCGACTGGGTCTTCGGCCCGACGGGTGGCGGCGGCGCCACTCGATTCTCCGGGTATCTTGGACATCTAGGGCATCTTGGGCATCTTGGGTATCTCGGGCATCTTGGGCACACTGAGAATATTGGGCATCTTGGGTATCTTGGGTCACTTGGGTATCTTGGGAATCTTGGGTCTTGGCTATCTTGGCTATCTTGGCTATCTTGGGTATATTAAGAATATTGGGTATCTTGGGTACATTGGATATCTCGAGTATCTTGGGTATATTGGGTATCTTGGGTATCTTGGGTATATTAGGTATCTTGGGTATTTTGGGTATCTTGGGTATCTTCGGGCGAAAGAAGCCCGTTGACGCTCAGATGCGCATGCACATTTGGCAACATCAGGGCTCAGGGCGCTTAGCATCCGAGGCCACGCCCACCGTGAGCAGAGGGTTCGGGAGCCCACCCATTTGCACTGTTGGAAACATTTGCGATCACATTCAGCTTAATCTCAAAACTTCTTTTTTGCCATGGGCGACAGTGGAGAACGTGCCGGAGCGGCCCACGAGAGCCAGGACGCATCTCGGCCAGCGGTGCGCGGGCAGGGGCCCCAGGGACAACGCAGGCCACTTCATCAAGTGGTACCCCGTGCAGCTGAGGAAGCTGCTCGGAGAGAGGAAGATGCGCGAGAACGCAGTCCGAGGCGAGGGCTGCCGGAAGTTCGAGCACAAGCCCCGCGCAGTGGCACGCCGTCGTCAGAGCTCACCGGCGCAGTCCGCAAGCTCGTTGAGGAGCGCTTGGAAGGACGTGCGACGGCAGACACGGCGAAGCACGTCAAGCGTCAGGCCAGTAAGCTGGTGGCCAAAATTCAATCGTTGCAGAACACGAACGTTTCCATTGCACCAGCCAAGGACTTGGTCCAGGCATTGAGCGAGCCGGGGGGCAAGTTGCCTAATGGGTATCACTTGCGGAAGTGTCCCCATCTATTCCAAGACAACACTATTAGAGGATTCAGTTATGTGCGAGCCTGAGCAGACACATCTTGAAATCGGTCAGAACGTGCCCGTGCGGCAGGCCACGGAGCACATTCACAGGCAGTATTTGCTGATGCAAAAAAGCTCGACCTCAAGATACTAGAACAGCAGCGCGTCAACCTCCGCACGATCACGAAGAGGAACACATTTGTGACCAAGTGCCTGTCCGGGCACGAGCGCCAGACCACGGTGTGGGAAGAGTTGGACCTTGACCTCGAGGAGGAGGATAAGGCACTTGCCACACTCAACACCCAAGACTTCGAGGCACACATCAACACCTTGTGCAAGAAGATCGTTGACAGAGCGGCGGCCAATCTAGAGACCAAGCGGGTAAAGGAACAAACGAAGGCTGACAGCAAGAAACACTTGGGTAATGGTCTTTTCAGCAAATCTCCGGAAGAGTTCGTCGAACTTGCAATCCAGCGTAATTAAGGTCAGATAGGAGCTCCAGAAGCAAAGCAGCAAGCAAGGTACCTACACGAAGTTGCAGCTTCTGGAGGCCAAGGCTGGCGTGGAGGCGAACCCCGTGACCCTCATGACGTCTTCGATCCACAATTTCGGCGCGACTGAGACCGACGCGGAAAGTGCCTTGAAGCCAAAAAACGGCCACGCCCCGCCCCCAGGCGCCAAAGCTGGGGGAAAAGGTTCTGGCAAAGAGAAGAACCAGGACTCGAGTGGGGCCAAGGGCAAAAGCAAAGGAAAAGGAACAGCGAAGGGCAAGGTCAACGCAGGGAAGGGCAAAGGCGACAAGGGAAAGGGGAACACATCCGCTACGACAACATGGAGGCCGACCTGGAAACCTACGGTACCGGCTCAAGGTGGGAAAGGCGGCGCAAAAGGATCAAAGAGTGGACCAGGCGGGAAAAGCAAAGGCAAGAGCAAGTGCCAAGCGAAAGGCAGGCCGAAAGGCTCTTCTGGAAGATGGTGAAAGGCATGAACGTGGCGGACTTCCGCCACCTCCTGGAGTGCGGAAAAGCCATTCCAGACATGTACAAATTTGACACAAATAAGAAAACAACTATCAGGCCACCACCGGGCTTCATTGCATGGCCGACTGATTTTTTGCTTGGCGAACACCACCGCAAGCATGTGTTCCGCCGCCGATGCGCTCCGAAGATGAGCGATGTTAGCAAGGCCTTGAACAGTTGGTACAACAAGCAGATGTGGAGATACATGGCTACCCAGCAAGGGGAGAACGAAAATAATCCATGGAGGTTTCGGAATAAGCCGGCTATTACACCATCGTGCCCTGCTGCAGTACCGCCGGCTCTTGACCAAGCGTGCAGAGCAGTTGTCGATGGAATGTGGCATGAATGCCGAACGGCACGAGGCCGCCACATGCACAACAGAAGAGTCATCTCCAACCTATCGGGTGTAGTATCCCTGGGAATGGATATCTTCAGGTATGGGAACATGGGAGTGTTACCCACCGACAAAAACAGAGGCTATTGTTTGATTACAAAAGCAACGTTAGTCACGGAATGCTTGAATATAATGCGTTCCACAAGGTAGCGAGAAGTCATGACTCCTTTTGATGCGGCGGACGAATGTTTCGAGGATTACGCGTTGGCAGTCAAAGAAGCTGGGAGGCGATTTGATGATCTCCGCTTTGTCAATGCGATTCGGTCCTGGGGCAAAGAAGGCTACGACAAAATGGTGTCACGTCTGAAATGCACGGTGAAAACGCACAAGCTGAAGGAGAGGTCGAATTTCGAGCCATTCATGCGAGTACCGGCAGCCAAATGACCGGTGGCATGCGCTACGTATCCTCCCTCCTTCGCCCTTGTCTAGCCCAGCGACCGCATCTTTTACGAGACAGCCATGATCTGCTATGCCAACTACGTGGTATAGCCGTACTTGAGAACGAGAGCTTCCTCAAGATCGATATCACATATTATTTCATGAGTGGAGAGCATCATCATCTAATTCGTCATTCCTCACAGGCGATAGAGTGCCCTGTGCCCCGGCAGGCGTACACAACCATCCTGGCACCGACACTCCGTAGTCAGCTAATCTCCGTGGACGAGGTGGTAGATAGATTATGGACAGCACAATGGGGCACTGGGATGGGCTTGCTCTATTCGGGGGACGTCAGCGACACAGCTTTTCATGTCATGGTCGAGGAGAAGAACTTCGCAGCAGACCCTGGGGTTAGAAGAAGATACGGCATCAAGTTTTACGGACGGCTCAAAGATGATATTTTCATCATCTTAGATAGGGGCGCTCACGCAAGACAGTGGGGCGACTTCGTCAGAGAGATGTGGCTCCAGAGCCAGTTCTTAAAACTCGAGGTTGAGAGCTTGACCGTAGAATCGGCTGTAATGTTAGATGTGGAGCTGAGTAAGGACGACGAGTGGAGACGCACGGGTCGTTTGACACATGA